ACCACCAAGGGCTGGGCAGGAGCTCCCTGGGGAGCAGGGCAGGGCCCATCCCACCACTGCAAACACGGCCACCTCTGAGTGGCTCCAGGGCCTCGCTAGGTGGGACGAGGTCTGGGTTTTGGCCACCCTGCTGTAGTGGGATGGCTGCTGTGAGTGCTCAGGGTTCATGGTCCCAGCTCCCTCCTCCACCTGCAGCACTGCCCAACTCAGGCTTGCCCTGCTCCCTCTGTTGCAGAGCTGGTGATCCCGAGCAACGCCAACGTCTTCTACGCCATGAACAGCCACGTCAACTTCGACTTCATCCTGCGGAGAAAAATGATGGACAGAGATGAGAAGATGCCCAGTGGCTGCAGCCTGACACTCCCCAGGACTCCAAAACGGAGCTGCTGGAGCGGGCGGCCCAACAAACTGGTGCTTTTAGGGAGGCAGGGCTGGGAACTGGCTGAGGCTGCGCCGCGGTGACCGCCCGGTGTTCACAGAGTCACAGCACATGAATGTATCAGGATTCCACTGGGAACACGTTTGGAGTTGGACTGCAAAGTGCCCTGCAGCCAGACCCTCCTCCCCTGCAGCCAGGGATGGACAGACGCGGATGTACGGGACAGCACAGACTGGAATTGTTGTTGTTAGTGTTGTAGTTAATTGTTGCTGTAGTAAATTGTAGGAGTAGCAGCAGTTTGTTTGTAGTAGCAATTAGGCGTAGCAGTAGTAGCAGTTAGTTGTTGCTGTAGTTAAGCTGTTGCTGTAGGTAGTTGATGTTGCTGTTGTTAAGTTGTTCTTGCTGTAGTTAAGTTGATGTTGCTGTAGTTAAGCTGTTGCTGTAGGTAGTTGATGTTGCTGTAGTTAAGTTGTTGCTGTAGTTCAGTTGATGTTGCTGTAGGTAGTTGATGTTTCTGTAGTTAAGTTGTTGTTGCTGTAGTTAAGTTGTTGTTGCTGTAGGTAGTTGATGTTGCTGTAGTTAAGTTGCTGTTGTTAGTAGCTGCTGTTGTTTGTTAGTAGCTGCTGTTGTTAGTAGCTGCTGTTGTTAGTAGCTGCTGTTGTTAGTTGTTTAGCTGTTGTTGTTTTTTTGGTGTTTCCTGTTTTGCACATTAGCTGAAGAAGGTGAGAGGCCCCATCAGAGGGGGAACCAGGACTGCAACGTTTGCCTTAAGAACACCACAGAAGCCAAACACTCTTCGTGAGAGAACATTTTCCTTTGTGCCAGTATTACACAGAAGAAACGTCTGAGTTTATTTTTATAGACCAGGGGAAGAAAAGTCCCCATACAATTCTGCCTGAACCAAGAAGCAGGAGGTCCCGGGTGGCCTCCAGCAGACTAAGGGGAGCACTGGTTTGCAGAAGGTGTGGGTGAGCCCAGGGCCACCAGCAGATGCTGCCTCCAGGAGGCGTTTGGATTTGCAACTTGCAGCAGGGGTGGGTCCCTCTCCACAACACCCATCCCTGCAGGCAGCAGAAGTGGCAGGTGTGTGTGTTGCTTTCACACAGCTGTCAAAACATTTTCTTTCTTTTTCTTTTTGCACTTGTTCCACACCTGAAAATTATCTATTTTGGATTTTTTTTCCAAAGAACTTTTTAAAAGAATGGACTGCACTTGCTTTTAGATGAATGTCATTATTTGTTCCTGAACAAGACAAACAAACAAACAAACCTTCTAAAAGGTTATATATATATATATAAAAGATTTTTTTAATTGCTTACTGTAATCTTTATACAATAAGTATATAAACTGTTTTTCACTAATTTGGCCTGGATTTAATCTATTCTTTTCTCTTTGATTTTTATGATGCATGTCAGTTGTGGCTTTTTTTATACCTCCCATGGTTAGACTTGGTGATCTTACAGGTCTGTGATTCACTTCCCTCACTGTCACGCTCTCGAACTTCAGCACTTTGACTGTTTTAACTCTTCTCAACTTCCTCCAGCTCCCACAACTCCTCTGCAAACTTGAAAACACCCCATTTTAGCTATAACCCTTCAGCTCCAACCTTCTTTCAGCTCTGTTTTACCCTTCAGCATCACACCCAGTAACAGCTTTGTGCTGTTAGTACCCATCAGCATTACTGTTGTGTGTTTGTTTTCATTCCTAGAAGTTCTGATGAGGATGGGTGGCTGCTGAGCTACCTCAGCAGTTTTAAACCCGCTGAGTAAAAAATCCAGCCTCTCCCTTCCATTATCCACTGCACAGCAGCAACCAGGAGCTGTGCCCAGTCCAGTCACAGGCTGCAGGACTGCAAGGAGCTGCTGCAGAGCTAAGGAGCAATGGCAGCACAGCAAAAGCCATCCTAGCTCTCTTGCCATGGAAAATTTTGTGCCACTTTTTTTGAGCTTTCAGTTTAATGGTCTCGGTTGTAACTAACTGAGTAACTTAGTAACCCAAGTTTTACAGCTTCTTCAGGAAATCATTTTCCTTTGGTTCACTGGATGATTGATGCAGCAAGTCACTACAAAAAAAACCAGTGGGCTCTTTTCTGTGCCCCCTCCCTCTGACCTGCACACACCAGAAGTGTTTGCAGGTTATACCACAGCCACTGCTTCCAACTTTTAAGACAGTCCCTTGTCCCCTTGGACCTCTCCCTCAGTCAACCTGCCATTTCATGAGCACTGGGGGAGACACCAGAAGCAGCCACAAGTCCCACTGTGAGCCCCTGAACTGTGGCAGTTGCCTTTGTCACTGAAGGGCCTCTTGTGCTACAGCAGCAAAAGAAAGATTACCCTGAATTTTCTACCTGACCTGCCCAGGGAGACAAACCACTACAACAAAACCTTGATGGATTGCCTTCAGGCTAAATACAATCTGTTTGTGAGCTAGGAATTCCAGATTGTTGTATCAAGAGTACAACAGCAGTTTTCTTAAACAAAAGTGAAGGCAGAGCTGTCAGGTTATGGTGACCAGGCCCTAAAAAACATGATGATCTGTGGTAAAGCAGCTTGGAACCTTTCTTGTCAACAAGTTGCTCCTTACACTTGGTAAAACCTGGTCCCAGCTTTCATGGGTCTGTCACCACCCTCACTGGGGCAGGCACTGCTGGGTGGTTTTGACATCACCTGGGGGGGATCCTGGAGATCTCAGCTGCTCCACAGCACAGCCAAAACCCCATACCAAAAATAAAAGATTTTAAAAAAGGGTGGAAAGCTTTAAAAAAATAAAAGGCCTCAGGGTGGGTCAAGCTGGTGCTCCTACTGGGGCTCAGTTTTGAAGCCCATTACACAAAAAGAAAATAAGTACATGGAAAGTGGAAACAAATAGCAGAAAAACCCCAAAGTGTTTCAACTGGCTCCTACTTTTCCAAAACACAGTTAATTCTGAGTAGGAAAAAAGCCTGGGCAACACCTGCCAAGGAACTGAAAACACAGACAGGGAAAACCAGCCTTTGTCAGCACAGGTACAGCCACTGTCTGTCTACCACATCCTGCAGAGGGAAATAAATAGCAAATTGTGTTTGCCCAGCCCTCAAACAGCATTACCAAGGGCCTGGAGAAACAGCTCTGCTGCAACATCAGCCCCAGTCCCAAGGGAAGCATGAAGCGATGGAACAAGTTAGTAACATGGTCCTCACATCCACAGTGGAACATGTCAATACGCTGGATGCTCACCAGTTCACAGCTTTCCTGCTTCTGAAGGCCACACCAAGCTCCTGGGATTGCCATGCTCAACAGTGCTTCAAACACCTCAGAATTGTCACTCGTAAAGGATGACCTGAGGGGGAAGCAGGAGGGTTTGTCAGGGAGGGGTGGCCCAGGCTGTGTGTTTGCCCAGAGCAGACCTGCTCTCCATACTCACCCAGGCGCATGGGCACCTGCTCCAGCCTGGACAGCAGCAGGGGCATGGCTTCCAGGGAGTAGCTGCAGAACAGGCATGTTCATATGTCCAGTGACTCCATGGTAAAGTGACACAGCTGAAAAAAAAATCCTGGGCTGGCCTTCCCCCACTCCCACCCAATGAAAAACTACTCACAGCTGCTCATCTTGCACCAAGTTCTATGTATTATCAGACCGGCTGACAGGTAATAACATGGTTTCTTTAGCAGAAAGCACAACATTGATCAGTAATTATTAAAAACAACCAAAATGTATAAAAATACCCAAACAAACCCAGCCACACACACTCAACTAGCCCAGCTCTGCCAGCAGGTGAGGCTCAGGACTGCAAGGCCAGGAGGGCATCACCCCACAGGCTGAGGTCTGGGCCAGCGGAACCTACGCAGCGTAGCCTGAGAGCACCTGGCATCTGAGAGATGGTGGAGTTTTTTTCTTAAAAAAAATACAACCACCACACTCTGCTGATATGTACATCAGAACTCATTCCTCCCCCCCCCCCCCAAAAAAAAAAAAGACAAGTTTGCTCTTCACATGAATAACGAGATCAAGACAAGTTGCCTTCCCGTCGTGTAACGCGCGGTTCTGTCGAGTGTTGCCAACGCTAACGGTTCTGTGGGTTGATTTGGTTCCATAAGGATAGTGCCAAGCAGTTCATAACCAGACTTAATGTTCCTGAAAGTCCTGCACTTGGTTTTAAGGCCTAATTAAACAGGCCTGCAACTATGTTGCCAGGCTTTGCTTTCCTGAGGGAATAAATTGAGGCAGAGGGTGAAGAAGGACATGACATGGACCAGCTCCGCCTGTGTTCCCTGCAGACACCAAGAAAAGAAACAACCTCCAGCTTCTCTGCTAGCTCCCAAGATTTTAGACATCTGTTTAGATGTGATCTAACAAGCTTTGATATTTATGGAGGGGAAGCCAGCAGCAGTTTTCTGTACAGGTGTGCTGATGGAGAGGACACTCCAGCAGAGGGCTGCTCCGCTGCACTGAACATTTCTGGAAAACACCTGGATTCTGTCAGGGATCTCTTTGAAAAACAAACCCCAATACTTGCCTTCAGCTTCTCACAGGCAACGTGGCTGTGAAAGCCCACAAAGCTACAAGGAGTAACAGTTACACAGCAGCCCAATCACAGCTATCCAGAACAGGTATTAACATTGTACACCTCTATATATTAATCTTTATAAATACAGTATTCTACAGGAGGAACTGTAGAAAGACGTCATTCAAGGTTGGGTTTTTTTTTTTTGTTGTTGTTACAAAAGCTCAAGAGGGCTTTTGTTCAGATCTCTGCCTTTTTTCTGCCAGTCTGGAACACTTGTTCTTTCTCCTCCTTCATCTCCCACCTGGCCCAAGCAGCTTGGTCAGTTGTCAGGTCCAACCACTGTGCTTTGCCATTGGAGGTGGTGGGAAGGAGACCACGTGAAGAGCTGCTCTACAACTTTCAAGGGTGAAAAGCCAAAGTGTGAGGCAGGTTCAGCTGTCAGGAGAGTCCCAGGGAGGGGGAAGCCATCAGTCATAGTTCATCCCTGGAGGATGGCACGTTGAGAGATGACTGGGAAGGCAGGGCATCCTTGTTCTGGGCCTCACTGTGGATCTTGCCCTGCTGCCGGGATTTCCAGGAGTGTGTTCTGTCCCAGTCC